TTTTGAAAATTGCAGTGTACGCTCAAGGAAATTAACTATAAATATTTCGGAACACTATTTCTCCCAAAAAGCATTTTAAAAATAGCCATAAGGCAGACGCAGGAATGGACGAAAAATCATTGAAAATTTGATGTTTCTCTGTTAAATCATCACAGGAAACAATATAATATAAATAAGGAAAAATATGCAAAATTGTGCTTTTGCAAAAAAACACCTTTACTAAAAGGTGTACCAGAAACTCCACTGATTTATAGGCATTTTTTAAACATGACGAGATTACAAATGTTGCTGCTTCCATTTCATCCGATCGATCGAGCCTAGATGAACATTTTTAAAATTAGAACTTCATCAATGATTTTTTAGCGACTTTGGGTGATGATTATGTGAATTGGACAAAATATTAGTGTTTGAAGCTCTCCGTTGTTTATCATTAAATTGAAAATCACGCAAAATCGTCATTTTCTCGAAAATGTTCTTTGGTTTTCCTCTAGGACTTTTAGCCTTTAGTATGTTATTTACATTGATGGAAGTTTTAAACAAAATCGTCGCATATGCAGTAGAATTTCATACAAATACCCTTCAAGCCCCGTTTATATTTGACCATTTTTTTTAAATAAAGCTTCAAAAAACGTACTAAAAACTTATATGAACAACCAAATAAACACTCTCACTTAAAGTGAATGCCAATGATCCCACTTTTTTATTATTTCGAATAAAGCGAGTCCAGGACTTTCAGTGGCAAATAACTGTCTAGCTCCTAGCAGAGTATAATTTTGCTGAATATACCCCAGTTTCACTCCTAAGTCGATCAGCTTCTGACAGGCTAATATTTGGATTTCTGGTGGAGCCGTAGTCAGAAACGTTCCAACGAAAGCGATTCCTATACTGTTCTTGTTCCAGCTGTAAAAAATCGTGTAAACTGTTAAAAACAACTTCTTGTTCACTTTTTAAATAGTCACTTACTAGAGAGTGTGCGCACCTTCTCCAGTCCATCCTCTGCCCTCATAGGCGGCCCCGTCACCTCCAACCAGGAAGTTGTACGCAATGTCAAACCATCCTCTGCTTTCGATATGAAAGGTCTGAATTTGCCTAAAACCGACAAAACAAACTTCAAGTCATGTGGTTTCGATTTCAGCCGGATTCGTTCCCCTGTTTATAAATTTTATGGTACAAATAATTCTAAAGCGCCCGAACAGAATGGAATTGTCATGGTTCTAAAAATTACCTTAAACTGGTCACAGCCCATTAAATTAAAGTAGTTGTCTGAACAAGGACGTATTATTGTAAAATTATTCGAATTCGGTTGTTTTTGCTTTTGGACAATAAATTTCTTCTGCTGGAGATGAAGTTACCTGCACAGAACAGGAGCCAAATAGTAATTATCTTTATCTCTAAAATGAAGTCGCTCTTCTTTAGCCTTTTTCAGAAAAAACGGTTTCTGCGCTTGAAGTGCTCTTCAGTTCGTCAAAATTCTTCTTCTCATTGCACCCACTTCTTCCGAAGGTTGGCGATCCAAATAGTTATTGTTGTTTTGTAAACTGCAGCACAAAATATTTATGTGGATGAGCGCTCAAACCACCTTCTCACATCTTGCAATCATGAATTATGGCGTCTTCCTACAGATATTTTACCCTCTATTATGAGTTGAAGTCATTTGGATTTTTCTCCTTTCAATACATGACTCAAGTATTGAATTTTTCTCTATTTGATGGTGTTATCAATTCCTCTTGTTTGCTAATGGGTTCGAGTACTTCATGATTAGTGTACCTATGAAATTCGTGGCATTCGTCTGCATATGCAAATTTCAAAAGCTTCTACACTTCTTCGCACGCGAAGAGTAAAGCAGAGACATCGTAGCATCTGACCACGGTTTCTCGGGCTAAGGTCTGGCTTTGGCATGTTGGACAGGTGTATGTTTATTGGCATCTTCGAGTAGACTAGTATTTTGGTTTATATGCAGACATAAACTCAACTTATAATTTGAAGATCTTGTACGTTGTTTGCTATTAGAACAGTGTCATCAGCGTGTCTAATGTTACTTATCGAGGTTTCGTTAATCTTGATTCCCCCTGGGGCCTTGTGTTTGGAGTAGTGCGAATTCCTGCGACTAATTTAAGTATTTCCTCGTTCATTTTGTCACGATTGATGGAGATTTTCCATTGATCTTATTGTCTGAGAATGGAGGAACACCAGGTCTATCATCGTTAAAAGGTGTTTCAACGGATTTTTCCATCTAGCAAGTTTGTCTTCTGTCCCTACGATTATTTCCTAATTTCTGTTTCTCGCTGTCTTTTCTTTTACTCATTGTGGACATTGAAAATGACATATGCTTCCTGAACTTGTCCAATTTCTCGACATTTTGCTGACATCCAATTTTCGTCGACTTCTCTGCCCTGTTTCCTGATGATTTTATTAAGTTGTTCGAGTTCTAGTGGGTTTGCTTCCCATTTTCGTCTTTCTTCCATGAGATCCATTTTTGTTTTTTGTTGTTTCTTACATATCCTGTCATATCGAGAGCTTTTACTTTTTTAGTTTAGTTTTAAAGGCGTTTTCACATTCCTTCAACGTCTACATTCTCTATTTTTTGCGCTTCTGTATTATTATAAATAAAATCTTAACTTTGTTCACTGCAGCCGGGAACAGCTCAGTTGTACTCATACCAAACCAGGTTCTAAGGTTTCTTAACCATGAGATTCATCTTCTATCCACACTTTGTTTCCCTAGTACTTTTCCTTGCAAGAGAGTCTGCACTAGGTGAAATCTGTTTTCATTCCTTATTACGTGTCCCAAATATTGGAGCTTTCGCTCCTTCACAGAATTAACCACTTCCTGTTCCTTACCCATTCTGTTCACAACCTCTATATTTGTTATGTGGTCTGTCCACGGTATTTTCAGCCATAACTCGAATGCCTCCAATTCTTTCGTTGTGGCTTCAGTAAGCGTCTATGCTTCTACCCCGTAAAACAGGACAGAGAACGCGTAACAGTGCAATGTTATGTGATGGCTTGTGAACAGATGTCTCGTCTTGCTGAATGCAGTTCTGGCCTTTTGAATTCTGCTTCGTATTACCTGCGAATGATCCCATTGCTCGTTCCCCAGAGTTACAGTTGTTAATGTTGTCTTTAAATTTTAATCGCTAGTTTTGTCTTTAATTTTAATGTTCAGACTGCACTCTGTTATTCTATTCATGAGATTCTGTAACTCCTCTATGCTGGCAGCAAAAACGACCGAATCGTCTGCATAACGAATATTGTTCACTCTTTCTCGATTCAAGGATATTCCTGTATCTGTGTTTTAAGAGTTCTCTTAATATGAATTCTGAATATAAATTGAACAATAATGGGGCGAGAATGCAGCTCTGCATTACACCAATCAGTATATTCATTTGCTCTGTTGTCTCTTTTCCCAGTAGAAATGGACTATTATGTTGATGTCCCGTCCATCCAAGACTACATTTTTCAGAATTTCCATCATTTTTCGATGTTTTACTCTCTGAAAGGGCTTCTGGCAGTCACCAAAACATGCAAACACGCTCCAGTTAATGCATGTCTTTGTATCGCTGAAATAAAACTTTGATGCTATATGAATATGTCCTCCCGTGTTCCCACTGCATCTCTGAAACCAAACTATGCAGGTGCTTTTGGTCTTCACAGATCCTGTAGACTCTGCTGTGTATGATTTTTAAGAATAGTCTCAGTAGATTGCTCATCACACTTATTGTTCTAAAGTCTTCACACTTTTTAGCTCCTCATTTTTTACGCAAGACACTTTCATTAACCACCTCATGCTGTTTTCATCAAAAAGTTTGAAGAACTCTATATTTATGTTGTCCGATCCCGGGGATTTTCCTTCCTTCGAGGATTTTATTGCTGTTCTGACCTCGTTAATGACGACATCTGGACCTGCATCATCATCTACTTTGGGAGGTTACGGTCTTGTCTTGAAAAGAGTTGTTCTGTGTAAGTTTCTTATGTATCTTTCAAGTCAGCTACATTAGTTATAGGTTTTCCTTCGTTGTTGGTTAGGGTGGTCACATGTTCAAGTTTATACGTCCCAGTTAACTCTTTAACATTTCAGTTTCTTTTGTCTGCAGTGTTTCTATTTCAAAGTTTTTCTTTAATGTCGCTTTCCTTGCCTTGAGGGACCTTTATTTTAATTATTTTGTTTATGCTGTTGTATGCGCCATAACAGTATTTCTTTTTCCTCGTTGCTCCATCAACTGGAGAATCTCATCGGTCATCCAGGGTTTCCTTTTTATTTTATCAGCTTGTAACAAGTCGTATTTGATGTTCTTAATTGTGCTGTTGAGGATAACAGCAGGGATTTGATTTCGTTATTTAAGTATGTTATTACGATGGTTTATTGATGGTTCTGTTGGTTTCCTTAGATCATATTTTTGGGCGTTGCTCTTCTTTAGTCTCTTCATCTTTATCTTGAATACACCGACCAAGAGATTATGATATGAATGTATGTCAGCTTCTGATATGCTTTTACTGATGTACAGCTATTTCGATACCTTTTGTTCACAAGTAGGAAGTCGATCTGGTTTCTTTCTAATCACTTAATCCGTCCTGTCACGGGGTGATCTCCAGGCCTCTATATTGACCGTTTCTAATTCTTTTAGTTTTTCTAAAGGGGCTTTTCAGTTGGGCAATATCTGTTTTTCTTGTTTTACTGTCTCCTTGCACCGTCCGGAATCTTTTTAATTCAAAGTCCAAAATCACAAGATTGTGGTCGATGATGAGTTTTTACGGATTTCATATATGTATTTCTTAATATTTATTCCTAAAGTATAGGTCGAGAAGAATGAAATCAATTTTATTCCTAACAATTCTTCTCTATCGTTCTGCAGGCGATTTCCAAAAATGAAGAAGCCTCACAGGTATTTTGATGAAGCACTGAAGAAGAAAAATAACTAAGATTGCCGAGAAGAAACTGAGCTGGACCCTGGGGATTCTTGTTCTGGGGAGAGGAAAGATCTTTCAATACAGAGAAGACTATGAAGCAAACCAAAGCCTTAAGAAATAGTGTTAAAAGGCCTACAGGGATTTAAGGTTCTAGAGGGGTTTTAAGTGCAACTTACCTAACATGAAAAACGCACTGAGCTTGCGAAGTACAAAATTCCGTAGCTGTGTGATGAATGATTACGTATGGCACTGGAGTTTGCAGTGTTGTAGTTTTTTTGATTGGAGGCTGCGCCACCCATTCGTAGCGCGACACCATTCGCAGGTTGGTGTCCTTTTGGCTTGACGTCGTTAAATCTGGAAGCAGACAGAAGAATGAAGACCTAGAATAGACTGATTGGAGATCTCCCGCCTTTTACCTGGATCGTATTCAATGGGTTTAATAATATTGGGTTCTGCAGACGTACCATTAGAAGGATTGCTGACAACAGCAGGCGAACGTCCCAGAACCAGCAGCACCATCAATACGATAAAAAACAGAATGACCACTATTACAAAAATCCCAATTTCCACTGAGCGGTGCTTCGAAACGTTCTGCAACCAGATGAAGCCTGGAACAAACAGTCTGTTGCATGCACTGAAACCAAAACCTTTTCCTAAATAAATCGCTGCCAAAGGCGAGACGCACCATTTCTAATGGGACTTTGAGGACTTTCAGTAGCTGCCTGATCAGCCAGCTCCGGATCTTTATAGCAGTCTTTTACCTCAGCAGCAGAATGTCCACCGTCCATCTCGAAACCTAAATTGTCTTTGGCTTTATCACTACTGTTCACCAATGCCGGATTGCCATTGGCGTACACTATTTGCTTGATCTTCACCGGTCCGTTATAGAAGTTCTTGTTCCCAATATGCACATCGTTGGAGTTTTCAATCGACACTTCGCCATACGAGGGAAAGATGTTACTGTTCGGGTAACCCAACGATTGCATAAGACAGTCCTCATTGCACTTGGAGTCGGACTGAAGTTGCTGAACGCACATGCTATCATCCCCGCTGCAATCTGATTCGCTTTCTTCATCGGAACTGCAGTTGCATGGAGCACTGGATGGCAGCTGGTTGGTACAAGAAAGGTCCGATGTTGCTACTAATGTCATTGAATCTAACTTCCTTCTGAGTGGGACTTCAGAACATGATTTGGCGCTCTAAGGTCGTACCTGTAGGGCAATGTCATTGTTTAATGGGGAGCGAAGGCCATTTGCTAAGGCTGCTACTCTACAAGAAGTTGTTTGGGATAGTGATAGTTTTTACACTAAGTTTGGATAGTGCTTTGCACCAAGGGGGACATGATAAGGCCCTTAATTTCAACATGAAGGCACCTTTTTGCTGATATCTCAGAAGCAAGTTGAGCTCTCGCGTTTATTTCTGTGGCACTGAATGCATAATTAATTTGCAGATTTTCGAAGTGAAACATGATTCGCTACATGTTGGCCGTTTTGCACGAAGTTTCGAGGATTTTTTGTTTTTTGCGGTTTTGACAAGAAAACGCCTTTTTGATCATATTTCACGAACCAAAGGAGCTAGAGTAATTGTTTTACGTCCGGTGGATAGAGAATTAACAGCCGCATTCATTACGGGAAACATCAGTTTGGAAATTTAAAAAAATTCACACAAAAAGCAAAATTTGAATACTATACGTTTGGCTACAAAGGCATCGTTTCCAAACATGACTCCATCATTTTGCTCATATCTCAGACGCTAATAACGCTGTTATTGCCACACTCATTGCCAGAGCATTAAATATAATGAAATTTAGAAAGTAGTGGCTGTTTTTATGCTTTGAACTGAAATTTGCTTATTTCACATTTAGGTACAAAATAATTATTTCAAACATGACGCCATTCATTTTCTCATAAATCAAGAATAAAGTGAGTTAAAGCTCTAATTTTTTTATTGCGCCTGAAATTACACATTCATCAAGTGGAAAATACTGACAGTTTTACAACGGAAACGAAATTTTAACATGTTTTGGAGTTTTACACAGTTTTGGAAAAATTGGACCTTTGCCTGAAACATGACGCCGTCTTTGTGTTAATATCTCGAGAGCCGTTGAAAATGAGAATTGAGTTAAAGTCCCATACAACAAGGCAACCTTCAGTAAGGACTTTCAAGCGAAATTTAAAGACTATACATTTAGTCACAAGATAAAGCCATCATTTCAAGCATGACACCACCCTTTTGCTCATATCCAAGAACTATTTGATCTGGATTTGGCTGGTTTTTTCATCACTTGAGAGGGAATTAAAATTCCCATTCACCGAGTGAAACTTAATTTACAAAATAGTGGCGGTTTTCCCAGAAAAAAAGAAACACTTATGTATTCAAATCCAAGTTATCGGTCTCCACAATTTATGCGAGGGCGCTGATATTAAATCTCCTGAAAGCGAATTAAGTAACAAATTCATAAATTGGAAGATCAAGACAAAAATTTCGGCAGTTTTTGCACCAAACGCGAAACTTTAACGTGGTTTTGAGTTCAACACGGTTCTGGCAAAATTTGACTATAACCTTAAGCATGACGTCGCCTTTTTATTAATATCTCTAGAACCATTAGAATTAGAAACTTCGTTTTTCTATCAATGGATAGAGATTTTAAAGTTCCATTCGAAATGGGAAACATGAGTTAGACCATGTTGACTTTTTATACAGAACACGAAATTTTACTGCGAACGCAGATCAAGAATAATTTTTTTTGGACGTATTACGAGTGTCAGCAACATTTTGTGCAAAAAAATTTAATACTGAAAAGTTAATCAGTAATTAAAAGAATAATTAGATCCTTACACCAAAGACAATCAAACAGTTGAAATCATAAAAATTAGATCTGAGCACAATTGAGGTAAAGTGAGTTTAAATCTGGGTCAAAACAACGATTAAAACCTAATTGAAATTAAATCAGACCGTTGAAAGGACCAAAAGAGAAAAAAATTAAACTATAATTACATACATTAAAATACATTAAATAGTCAGCGAAGTCAATAGATAAAGGTTTTATTAAAATCTGGTTTGTTAAAATGGAAAAACAAAAATTATTATAAAATATGTTAAAAACAGCATCTTCTATAGCAGAAACACGTATGGATAGTATTTAATCATACTTACAGCAAGCAAAATAAAACTTATTTAAAAAATTGTGTTCATTATTTAAGTAATTTCGTCGCTTTAACGTAAATAATGCTTTTTATTAACCATTTTAATAGTAGGATTTAATAAATTTATCATTATTATCAACTGATAAAGAAAATCCCATTTACGAGGTGGGATTTGATGTAGAAAATAGTGGTGTTTTCCAGGCAAAAAGTTAAATTCGAATACTTCGCACAAAACTACAAGATTAGGTCGTCATTTCACACATAACGTGACTTTTCAGCTTATATCTCATGCAAAAATTGAGCCACCGCGCTAATTTCCACACTCCTGGATAGAGAAATAAAGAACACATTTATGAAGTGACGCATTTTTTGTAAAATGATGGCAATTTCATGGACAGTCGATGTAAAAAATTCGAGTCGCTTGTAAACAGTTACTTTTCTAATATATTTAATATTCTCTTAATTATTTTCTTAAATTCTCTTAATTCTCTTAGTCTCTTGACAACCTTGGTTTAAAAAAATGAAATTTTCCATGTTCTTTTAGATCTGCTGATTAAATTGTTCTCAAGTTATGTTTCTGAGAAAACATAAACGAAAAGAAGAATTCCGTGCAAGGCATCCAAACACGGGCAAGGACAAGCGTTTTACACAAAAAGCCCATTTTGTTTTTATTATAAACATCCCGAATCTACTACTGAAATAATGATCTCTTTATTATCAATAATCTAAAGTAAAATATTGCATCGTTAAAAAATTAGTTGCCTTTTTATTGTGACTATCAAACCGGATCGATCGTAAGCCTGATAAAAATAAATAGTTCTTAGTCATGACTACATAGGTATTCGATATGCAAGATTTTATAAAGTAATGTATTTTATATACACTTTTTCGCTACTTTCGTCGCTCAGGATCACTATGTAAAGTGACCTTAATTCCCATATGAATCTCCTTAATTCGACGGAATAAATACACTTTAACAGAAAGTTAAATCCAAGACAGGAAAATATACTTTATAATTTTAATTATGGTTAATTTAGACGCTCTAAACCTAAAATAAAACCGACAGTGTATTGAGCTTTTGAGAGAAACATTTCTCGTTAATAAAAGTATAGTTAGTCTAGTCTAGTTAATAAAAGGTCTTCTTCGAGCCAGAGGACAGTGCAGAACTTTTTTGATCATATGCCTGCATAACATCCTGAATATTGTTTCTATTGCAACTTAAGAGAGGCAAAAAGTATTTCCATCCATATTTCTTAAACAAAAGGTTTTACACCGGTTACTCCACTCTAGATGGTCGTCTAGCAATGTTTTAATTTTTTATTCCGCAATATCTGAGTATACATTAATTTCATTTTAAATTTTTCTTCAATATTTATGGATGTTATTATAAAAATCCGGCATTTTAGTTTAAAAAAAAATGAGAATATTTTCAGGAAAGAAGGTATGAGGACATTTGCCGGAGCTTCTAAAATAAAAAGTTGATAAAATGTATATTAATAGAGTAAGCATTTAAGCAAGCAAGAGCAAATTATGATTTTGATTTGTACATGTTGCTCTTAACATAATCAAAATTTCAGACTAACTCACTTCTTTTAAATTTTAAATAAAAAACACTCACAAAATGAGTAATGAGTATTTAACTTCCTAGTGGTTTCACCGGCTTAAAATCCCCAAAAATCTTTTGAATATCCCTCAAGTAAAATCAACGATATAAAATCAAAGCTCCAATACAGGCTCATAAAAATGCATTTTACAGAACGTTCCTTCATCGGTTTGTCTTTGACAAAAAAAAACACGATTTTCATGCAATAACTAAGTGAAAAATTAATTAATTTATTTAATGACGCAGCGATGGACATTCTTTAAGGCTTCAAGGTAACAACATTATTGCTTGGAGCAACAACTAGACAAAAATAAAGAATATTTAAAGAGGACAAGTTTTATGCAGAAAACGTAAGGACGGCGAGGAAATCAACGTAAATATTAAAGTGCACAAATGTTAGGAAAACATCAGATCAGTATAATAAAAGCAGGGAAAGCATACAAAAAACAGTAACTGAGCTACAATCAACAGAAATAGATAAACTAAGCCTTACAAAAAAAAACTATGATAAACAAGAAACTTAATAAAATCGCTGGAACACGAACAATTAATGAAGTTTTGCACAAAAATAGGGCGAAAATAGACGAAAATGAGAATAACTTAAGATAAGAACTAAAGTAAAAAAGCGGATTCAAGCCCTTTGTGGCTTTATTTGACTTTTGATGTTAATAGCTTAGGAGCTAAAGTCCCCAAAAGTCCTTTGAAAATTTCAAAACCATTAAAGAAATAATTCCTCAACTAAATTAAACGACTTTAGGCAAAACCTTCATTCCTATTTCTATTGACTTCACTCCTCAGTTTGCTTTAAAAAATCAGATTTTTTAAGTTATAACTAACTAGAAAATGAATTAATTGACTTAACGACGCAACAATAATTTTTTATAATTGGCCTCAAGACGGCAACAGAAGAAATAATGGAAAACTAGAAGCGCGAGACAAGAACAATCAATTGCAGAACTGTAGGAAAAAAGTGGTCGAAAATGAGCCTCAGATAAAATAAGAACTAAAGTAAAAAGCAGGTACAAGCCATTTTCTGGCTTCATTTGACTTTTGATGTGAAAATCTTAGGAGCTAAAGTCGATTATTACAAAAAGTCAATAACTCGATTAATATCAATAAGAATTCGAATTCGCAAACGCAACAGGTGAAAATATAAGCGCAAGGCGAAACAGAAAAAATGCGTTAAATTCATCAAACAAACAATCGAGAATAAAAATAGAACACTAAGGGAATTAAACATAAGGAGCATGAAGTTATACAAATAAATTACAAAGGACAGACAAAATTGGCTTAGGCACGATATAGAAAAACGCACATAAACAAATGAATAATGAAATGTAAGCAATGGCATAGAAAGGCTCAAAGAATAATAATAAAATATAACTCAACACAGAATGAAAAAATTTACAGGCAACTAAGCGAAATATCAAGCCAAAAAAAACGCGGACAGAAAGGCTATGGGGGTTGGGAATGAAAAATTTGCGGCTAATAATAAAAGAAGGTAGAAAACACAAAAATCACTACACCAGATTCGAGTTCAGGCATTCTGCGCTCCTAAACACAGCAGATATTGCACTTCCAAATCATAATATTTGGTGAAATTAAAACATATGAACGAAAAACAGATGCGGCAGATGCGCCTGAAGATGACTTGAACTAAAGTTGATATAAAGTAGAAACGTTGGCAAGTTTCGCCTCGTTGGCAAGTAGGATTTGTATTTTTTTTAAATTGATAAAATTTTCCCCGAATTGTTAAATCAATCCATTGATCCCAGTGGCGAAATTTCGGTGATTGTTGATGTAAATCCAGTTTAAAACTGCAGCAAACCGAGACGTTTTTAGGACGAATTTTGAATAAGAACAATCCGAGTGTATTTATAAAATTCCTGGAATTACCAGTGATTAAGAACAATGACTTTTTGCGTGTAAATAGTGCAGTTTTCATCTGTTATCGGACAGTCGCGTATAGTTAATATTTGCTTGGCGCGACCTTTGGAGTGGAAAGTAGGTAGGTGGTTTCATAGGCTTCTTCCGACTTACCTTTACTGATTAAAGCCGGATGGGGGCATTAGCACGAAATTTCAACTAAACCACTGATTCCACTTAACGTTGATCAACCAGAACAACATCGAGGCTGCAATCACCAGCCCACTAACAACGCACTTTCAACAAAGAATATCGCTTTTGTTATTCCGTACGAGTTATTATAATATTCTGCACTAAGCCAGTGGTACCACGCATTGAGCAAATCACTTTTTTCTGTTGTCCATGCGGTACCAATTGGGTTCGACCAACCAATTTCCTGCAAGCACTGGTAATTGTCGAGTGTTCACTAAATGCGCTCAATAATGAATTCGAAAATGGGACTTGGAAAAACCTGATTACTGGTGATTATCTTGCAGTACGAGGTTGACGTCATAATTCTAGCCAGGAACCATCTTTTGTGCATAAATAAATAATTTTCTGCTATATTACCGGGGTTTGCATATAAGTGACTTATACTAAATCTGCGTGAATTTTCACGCAAAAGTTGGGCAATAGTTCTTTGAACATTTCCTTTCATCAATAACTTTTTATATTCAGCTAATGAATGGAGTTTACCTCTACTGTTGTTCCTCTGAAGTCGACGAGCTATCCACACATCACTTATTGGCAGCTTGGGAGACATTCACAATTTTTTTACGTGTATTTAAACGTTTATTAGCGACAAACTGCACATTCAATTTCTCAAAGTCCATTTAATGGCGGACATTTGCTGTTGTGGTCTCTTAGGGGTCACTTCAGAGATTATCAACGTTTATTTGTTTAATTGGCTATAGATAAAAATGTTAAATTCAGTTCGCCTGTTGGTGGCTGGTGCAGGTTTTCTTCAGCTCTATGTTTGCACCGATGATACTTTGATAACCTCCGAGTAGATGATGAGATTGTTGATTTTTCAGGCCAGTTGGGAAATTAAGAAACTATTATATTTTAATTTAATTCGTTTTGTTGATATGTTTCAAGTGAATGATTAGCAATAATCTCGGATAACGTTCGCGTTTGGAGGATAAGCATTGCATTGCTAAGTGACTAGAAAACAGACATATCTTTTTTACGCAAAAACTATGAATGCTACAAGATTTTACAAACAGCACAAAATTGTGAACAAATGATTAGTGCATCGACCTAAAAAAAATGAGTTGATTATATCTTCCAACTAAAAAGTTCTGGTAGTTTTTGTACCACGACACTCAAGAATTCACCACTTGTTCAAAACGGCTGAACTCGATTGTTTCATCAAAATATGAGTCTTACATAAGAACAAATTCACAGCGAGTTTCACTAAAACACATCGTGCCATTCTCCCGATATTTCGAAAAAGATCAATTTTTGAAGAACTTTGACCCTCAATAGCAGAGGAGCCAGACATTTTTTGTTAATAAAAGTTAGGTCAAATCGTCTTCTTTTGGTCCAAAGAATATCGCAATACCCTTTTGATCATGAGCTTACGGGACACCCTGTATACAGGGTCTCCCATTTGAAATAACAAAGCTCATGATTATTTCTGGTATAAGAGGCAACACTGCATTCCTGGAAATATTTTAAGCCGTTAGAGCACGGTAGATTATAGAAAAAGCCAAATTTTCAGAACAATCCGAAGTCATGGTTTACGTATAAGTTCAGCGCGCTATCAAACGTGAGCCACCCTGTATAGTTTATCTATACTAGATCAAGATGACGCTGTGTACATCATCTGTTTCCAAAAAAAATCTGAATTTTAATCCACCCAATTTTTTTATAAACCACAACGCAACAAATTTCCAATGGAAATACATACTTAGATACATACTTTCCTATTTTAACTCGCCTTTTGAAAGTAAATTTTTGAATTTCCCGCCGGCCTACGCCATAACCAAAACAAACCCCCTACCTCTAAACGCCACTCGACACTGATTTTGAGGTTAAAATGTTTGTTTATTTCTGAAAGCTCAAACTTTGTCTCACATTAAAAGTGCAATTTTTTCATTGTTGTGCAAACGGAATTAATTGGGCTGATCATGGATAACCCTGAAAACAATGAGGCTGCTGAAAAGTCGGAAAAAGTAATTTTTAAATCAGTTAAAAAGCGCAACCTGCGACAAAAAGTCAAGAGCGATAGTGATGATGAAGAAACGGCCCAAATCAGGTTGGTTTTGTTTTTAATCCTCATTTGCCCAATGAGCTGAGTGAGTTATTGTAGCAACAAGTTGGGAGAGATGAAGGAGCGGCAGAATTTGCGGAAGCGGCCCCATGGAGTGAGCGTAATCGGGCTGGCTTTAGGAACGAAATTTTCGGCAGGAGATGAGGCCTCATCGGTAAGAAGGCGTTAAAGTTCCTTGAAAGCACGTTTTCATGCTTGTTGGACTTCACAGAAGGACCCTTTCAAGGTGGAGGCTGGCGGAATGGTGAACATGCAAGCCCTAAAGTCAGGAAAAGTGAAACAAGTCGACGATGCATATGACACGGGAATTGGCACGCAATTCTCAGTCGAAACCAACAAAAGGGATGAGGTAAATCTTAGGCTGAACTTAGTGAACCTGAAATAAAAATGCAATTGTACATCAGGACGAAGAAATGATGAAATTCATCGAAAACGAGCTATCAAAAAAGAAAGGCAAAGTGGGGCAGGAAGAACCGATTTTACTTACCAAGAAAAGCTCCTACCTGAGCCCTGAAGAAGCTGCCCTACAAGCAGTACCCGACCATCTAAGAGAGTCATCAACCAAAAGGTACTAAAGGGTCAGGCGAAAAACATATGGCTTACATTGACTATTGCAGATCAGAAGAAATGTTATCCAATCAAATGCTTAGCGGGATTCCCGAGGTGGATTTGGGCATTGAGGCAAAAATTAAGAACATCGAAGCCACAGAAGAGGCAAAACTGAGGTTGCTGTGGGAGAGCCAAAATAAAAAGAATGGGCCATCGCAGTTTGTTCCTACTAATATGGCGGTTAATTTTGTGCAGCATAAAAGATGTAAGAGTTGGTGTTAACAGTAGGTTTTGCCTAATAGGGCCGATGTTCTAGATAATAATGACCGGGCAGAAATGGCGAGGAAAAAAGCCAAAACTGAAGTCGAAGACAAGCAGAAGAAGAAGGACGAAAAGGCCACCGACGATTATCACTTTGAGAAATTCAAAAAACAGTTTAGGAGATAATTAAAGTTATTAAAATAAAACGTTTTCTGTTGTAAACAAGCACGAAATTTCCCGGTCCTTGAAATTTTACTGTTAGAGCCATGAAATTGCCACATCGGAACAAATTGGAGCAAATGGCGAAGAAACCTTTGTTAGGTAAGTTTTCCATACTTTATTCCTTTGCTATTGTTTTTTAAGCACTAAACTGAGCTATCCTCTGGTATTTTCCCTGATTTGCGCCTTTATTGATTATTTAAGTCTGAGCAGTTTCAACTCTTCAATACAGAGAACTGTCGACTTTGATCTTACGGAATTCAGGTGTTCGTTTTTTCACGTTGTCTAGTTTAGAGTGCTTAAAAATTTAATGAAAAAAGAATTACAACAAACAATACAGGGTGACCATCTTCTGAATCTTTGTATGGGTAACTTCTACATTTTTAAAGATAGTGAATCCGTTAAATGGGCAAAATAGGGCAGAATTCAATTGCCTTTTTATTACCGTTTTCAAAATTTAGGTACCCGACTTGGTTCCTGAAATATCCTGAAATGTCACTTATTACAGTTAAAACTGCCCTTAGAACAACTTTTTGCGTTGAATCCAATAAACTAGCACTCGTTAGTCATCAAGTCATAGTCAACTTGATTTACGAGATGAAAAATAAACTTATGGTTTTTTAAATCATAGTTGGCTGTGTCAATTTTAAAATCCTTATTTTTTTCTGAATTCAACGATATAATTGTTTGTATGTTTTTCTCTTTTGTTTCTGTAAAATTTCAAAAGAAGATCAAAAATGTGTAGTAAGCTATGGGAACAAGAACTATATTATCACACAAATTACAAAACAATAATGAATCGTTTAAATTAACTTTTTGGCATATTCACATTCAACTCGTGAGTTGTGTGAAGGTGCACTATCATGTTGAAAATATGCCAATTTTCGATACGATGCTAACGGAAAACTATTCAACATGTCTTCAAGTTCATTTGGTAAAAAGTGTAAATATCTTTCCATATTTAAATTGTGATGATAAAAGAATGGACCAATAAGTTTATCACTAAAAATGCCTCATCAGACATTCACAAAAAAAACACGTTGATCTCGCCTGTTTTCAATTAGATGATGATTTTCATTAGCCCAGTAAACATGATTGTGTCTATTAATTATTTCATTTTTGTTTTGTGCTTTGTGTGATAATATAGTTCTTGTTTCCATAGCCTACTACACATTTTTTATCTTCTTTTGAAGTTTTACGGCAACAAAAGGAGAAAAACATACAAACAGTTATATCGCTAAATTCAGAAAAAAATCAGGATTTTAAAAGGCCCACAGCCAACTATGATTACCATTTAAAAAAACATAAGTTTATTTTTTATCTCGTAAATCAAGTTGACTATGACAACGAGTGCTAGTTTATTGAATTCAACGCAAAAAGTTCTACCAAAGACAATTTTAACTTTTTTTCTAATTTAAGCAGTTTACGAATTACATATATGATAATTAAAAAAGTGTTCATTTCTTGCCTTTTCAGGATACTTCAGGAACCAAGTCGGGTACCTAAATTTTGAAAACGGTAATAAATAGGCAATTGAATTCGGCTTAATTTTGCCCATTTAACGGATTCTATATCTTTAAAAATGTAGAAGTTACCCATACAAAGATTCAGAAAATGGCCACCCTGTATAAAGAACTGGAATACTAAGTTAATGTTGTATAAATGTTGACACTAGTAGCTATTTCAAAATCCATCAGTTATTCGTCCGACAGTTTTTGCAACAAGAAGCCCGTACATATGTGAATATATTTCAGTTAAATGTGCGTAAAAGTGCTTTTATGGGTGCTAATTGGATAGAAAATACGCCAGATGTACATTTTATTGTAAGTTTTATCCTTCTGCACATTCGTTTCTTTTTAAATTGAAATCGGTTTAAATACGGTCAAAAACTTATCAATTCTGAGTCTCCATACATAAAATTATTTAAAAAAATTGACGTAAATACATTGGAAATAGAAAAGTAATGCAGCAACGGTTTGTTAGATAATATTTATTATTGTGGCATTGTTTGTCTGTAGAGTTTATTTAAAGTCTATTTAAAAATGTTTTACTCTCCTTCACTAAAGTGAAATTAATCTCCTTGTTGCCAGAAAATAGTTTAGGAATGATGATAAGAAATGGACTTTGTGATTTTTCACAACATTGTTCACAAAAATCAAAGTCAAAATTTTCGAAACGCGCAGGAATTGTCTGTTGGGTAATCTTTGTCGTTGGAATGGTTGTATTTAGTTTACGCATACTAAAAGCTTATTTTAAAACACATTTATTTTCTAAACTCTTTAGCAGCCTGGTTGTGAAAGAATCTAGCGCGAAATGTGAATAGTAAAATCTAGAAATATTGACTGTTTTGACCTGAAAGCTTTGTAGTGCTAAAAAGGCCCTCGGCTTGTGATTGTCTCAAAGTAAGAAGTTCTGTATTTTCAATAGGTATCTGCGGGATTAGTTTGAGTGTACGGCAAAAACAGAAATGGAGATTGTATAAACCTGATAAAAAAAAATTTAAAATGTTTTTCCCCTGCTAAAAAATCACAATTTCTTATTGAATGTCTGCACACAACAACGTTACAGACGATTAAATGGTGCTTCTATGATTATTTTGTAGAGTAAGTAGTATTTTGGTCGCCCAATACGCCTCAACACATGGGATCTTCATGAAAAGTCTTCTTAGGCTTAATCAACGGGATTTTCAACTAGACCAGCGTCACTTAACTCACTTTTGCAACTTTATTGGTGGAAATTTTCGCATCTAGAATGCCAACTTTATTCGTTTAATATCGAGCTAGTGGATTCTATCAAAATCGGATTTTGCTCTTAACCACTAATCTGGTATTATTATTTTTTTGATCTTTTTTTTTTTTAATAAAAATATAGCTACTGTTCCAAGAATAGGACGAGAATAGTTTAAAATGGACCTTTCAGTTTGTTTCAGAAAATCCAGTTGATTAATCCTAATAATCCTTTTTATGAAGATCTCATGTCTTGAGGCTTATTGGGCGACCAAAATACTACTTTATAATCATAGAAGCACCATTTTTTTTATTATTCAAATTTATTGTGCGAAAAACTGATCGTAAAAAATGAATCCGCCCAACAATATAGAACTTATCTATTATTATTATGGTATTTATTACTATTTTAACCAAAAATGTTATAATTTGGGCAATAGTTTGTCTTTTTCTCATCAATACAAATATGGTATTAATTGATAAAATCTGGTTCGTCAATTTTGTTAATATTTTCAAACTGAAAGGGCCATTTTAAACTATTCTCGTCCTATTCTTTGAACAGTATACATATTTTTATCAAAAAATGTGTACCTATATTGATTTGTGTATTGGATTGTTAGCCGCTTTCCTAGTCCAATATCGACATTCTACACGCTATTCTATGTTATACCGGGAATATTAATTTCGAAATTTAAAATTTGTCTATAGATGAAAATCGATTTTCAATAGACAGAAAAAACTGATCGGAAAACTTTTGTCAAAATCAAGTATGTAACGTATTTGGTAGCTCACAATGATGCGAGCAAAGAAACATTGATAAATTGTATATGAGTCATATGGTCATTTTGCAAGCCTTTACACAAAATATCAAGCTCAAATTGCTGAAAATTTCATAAAAATTTAATTAAATGACCGCTTCGATAGCTAGCATTTAGTTTGGTATAAAAAGTTTAATGCGCCGGATTTGTTTATATTTGGCTGAGAAACCGGTCGTATTTACGGGGATCATTCAAACGAGATGGAACGTGAAACTTATCTGTGTGAATATTGGCGTGTGAAAAGGCGCTTTCTAAAAAAAGGCAATAGCAAAAAACAGCAATCAAATTCCAAAGTAAATAGATGAATGACTCATCTCCAAAGGGCGCACATGTGAATGGTTATATCGTCATCATGTTGGTTCTGGAGTTCGGTTCCTACGGACTGCGGCAAAATTTCGATATCGCATGGGTTTTTTGGAAAAAATATCTGAATACCTATTCATTTTATTACAGGCAATAGACGAAATCGGTCGTCAGTCTTTTGTGTTCTGTGAATCGCGTTCCTAGATGGGAAATCTAGAGTCATTGTGACCCTTGAAGGAAGTTTCTCATTCGAAATGTATTGTCATGTGCGATCAAGTGTAGTGTGTGCTTTTTGAAATTAATGGAAGAAAATGGAGAATGAAGCGCCAGCTTGCAGCAAGCTGGTAAGAATGATTTCTAATCTATAATCCTCTAGTTTGAGATGAGTTTATTTTTCCGCCAAGCATCTAAAGTTTTATCGATTCTTCACATTTATCTTTCTTTGTTTTGCTGGTTTTCAACAACATGCCTTTGGACAGATTTCCTGCTGTACCAACAGTTGTAGAACGTTTAGTCCTATTTCGAAAATCACTGTTCAGTTCGCCTTGCGCTTCGTTCATTTGACGGTCGGCATAAACGTTTTTGGCTCAATGCTTGCATAAATAAACTAATTGCCGAATTTGGAGCGACGAAAATCCGGAAGCCATTATTGAGATCCCATTATATCCAGAAAAGCCCACTGTTTTGTGTGTTCTGGTCTGGAAGAAGTTTGGAAGTCGTCAAATATTGGACTTCCAGATTGCGCTTCATTCGAGCCAGCGCGGCACCCATATGCCCCAAACCATACTTGATCCGCTGCTTGCGTATCATCGTATGTCCATCATTATATATAAGCTGTGCTGAAGCGATAATGGCATAGAATATTGCCGTTTAAATAAAACCAGTACCATAACCTTAACATGATATTATAAATGTAAATGTAAAGATATAACGAAACATACAGAAGCAGAATGTAAAGGGGCATGTGTTGTGGCCGTGCTGGTTTACTGCAGAGATTCGTTACTTCGGATCCGGATGAGTAGCGAGTAGTTATTTTGTTCTCGCCACTAGTAGAAACGTCGTAGTTTTGTGAATTCGCCCGCGATTTTAGTATAAAAGGATCAAGTAATAGTTATTTATAATAACACTTTGTCCGAGTGTTTCAAGCGGAATGCGGATGATTTAAGGGCAATTTTCTTCAACAATCAACTAATTCAAATCAATTTATTCACTTTTATCGATGTCTTATAAAACAAATTACTGATAAAAATGCCTTTCTTCGCACGAAAAACAAATGATCCTCATTAGTCCAACTTTAAACTAAATTTTACGCACCTTAAAGTAACAGTAGCAAAAAGATTATTTCTTAGCAAACGATATTTTCATCGCATGTGTGGGCGTGATTCGGAAGCTTTGCAAGGCATCCTTGGCTGATGCTGATTGCAGTTCGTTCTCGAACTCCACAAAGGCAATATCGTGCCTGTTTGGCACCAATCGCACCTCTTTAAATCCAGGGAATCTGCAATTGATTAGGTAGAGAAAAATATTTTTATCCGTAAAAGTACTCACTGGTTGAACAGCATGGATAACATCATTTCGCTGGTCTCGTCTGGAAGATTTGTAAGGAACAGAATTTGATTAGGAGGTTGTTCAGCATTGGATCCTGGAGCTTTGCTGGCGTCCTAAATATTGTTTTTTCAATTAATTGCCCTAAACCATCACGCTCAAGTCAGTACATACCTTGCCCTTCTTCTTTTTCCTGGGCATTTCATCGTCTCTAGCTTGTGGCGGCTTGACTTTCTTGGGCCTCTCTTGGAATGTGCCCTTCAACTTAGCTATCAAGTCGGAATCGGTTTTTGCGTACTGAATTCTCTGTAATCACATGGTTTAAAACGTGCCTGGTGCAATGCACAATATCGGAAATGTGAGATACATTTTCGCCACCTCTATGCTACCTTAATACTTAACAAGCACTCACCATGGGTTTGTCGTAAAACGGGAACCCCTGCATAGACCTCAGCGCATTTGTTGAGCTCTGAATCTCCTTGAATATTACAAAAGCTTGGCCCCTCATTTTCAGCGTTTTTAGCGCGACAATGTCCACAATTTGCCCGAATTGGGAAAATATGGCGTACAGGGACTTTTTCAGTTCCTCTTTTTTGATCTTCTCGTTCAAATTGTTGATGTAGATTGTGTTGTTTGGCCGAATATCCATCTGAGGAATGCAACATGAGGGTTAGCAATGGGAAAATTGCGGATTTTTCTATACTTACGGCGACGAAATCGATGAGAACTCAGGGGGAACTCTATGGGAGTGTAGAAATATATACCATATAATACCAGTTTATTGGTATTAGAATTAAGTAATTTATAAGGACCTGGGATATGGAAACAGTTAAAGACGCCGAAAATGCACGCCTTGTTTTATTCTAAATTGACAGCGACGATTGTGGTTAGGATTTAGAAAAAGCGCGGCCAGCGCAGGAAGCTCTGGAGATAGGGTAACATATGAAATTCATGCTTAGTTTAGGCGGTTAATTATAAAAATGCTTTTTTATATTTATTTTTGGGGACTAAATGGCATTTTTTATATAGAGTCGGTGGTTTACATATGAAATGGTATAAGTTGTCTAGCTGTATTCCACCTTGAAATGCAAACTGTTTGTTCAAGCAAAACATTGCTACATATTTTTTAAGTGGAAAGCAGCAGGAAATTTGAGAAATAATTGCAATAGCTGCGCAGTTTTTAATTGTTAATTATGCTATATTTTTTACAACTTTGTTGTACTTTATTTAGATACCTTAGGTGAGTTTACATATTTTTAATTTATTTTGAACACCCATTTCAAAGTTCAGTTCGAAAACAAGTTTCGACTATCGAAATTGCTTGTATAGCAATTTAGATGTATTTTAGGAATTCAAATTGAAGAACGCAAAAACTATTTGAACTTTCATAACGAAATACGCCGTTCTTATCAATTAGTTCATTAATTCCATTCCAATGTTACTCATTTTTATTTTCAATTTCACCCAAATTTTTTGGAAAGAAATGCACTAAATATTCATCCAGAGTCGTGAGTTAAAGTTTTATTTATAATCAAAACTCAAAATCTTGGTACAATTCCTTTAATATTATTTGTATAACATACAAAAAACTATGTACAGTACAGTATAGACTTGTGACGCGCTGCTAAAATGCAGTCAGATAGATTCACAGGGTATTCCACTTCTTCAGACTCAATTTCTTTACCATCGACATATGCGACAATCTTCCTAACTTATTCTTCCTAAAGTAACATAAAATATATTTATCATGTTAGTCTTACACCATAATATGGGGCCAATTGCGTCCTATACGATTAAAAACTAATGGAAGTATTTCCTTCTAAACTATATACACTACCTATTATATCTGCTGATAACAAAGACGCATTCATTTCATTTGCGAACGGTTTAAGATTTAAATCCTTAAAACAATGCAAAAACCCGAATCGAACTCTATTTTTTATTTTTTGTACTTGAAAGTACGTAAATAAGTCCTGATGGTATCTTTTGAATTACAAGACTTTTACAAAAATTTGGTTTTTTAAATCCTCCGTTCATCAAAAGGCATTTTTCGTTAAACATAATTGTTTGTTTTTGCCAGTGGCATTCCGACAGGGTTTGCACTGAATCATTTTTTCAGATCCTGAAGTGATACGCCACTGCTTTTTCTTCAAGCAAAAATCGTTTACAAATCATCATTATTTCCTTAGCAAATTTGAGCTTCGCTTTTTTCATTTAAAGTGTGGTTTGTACGTAAAAAAAATTAAATTTACTAATTTTGATCGCGCTCGACTTTGATGGAAAAGATGCAATTTATGTATGTAACTTTAAACAAAAGTCGATTTAAGCGACCAACCTTTAAACTGCTAAGCTATAAAATTGAAAGAATCTAAATACATTATTGTTTAAATGTAACTGTGAATGAACTGAATTGTTTTCAACAAAACACGTGCGATGAGCGAAAAAAATTAGGAGACCAAAGTCATTCAAGTGGCGTATCGCGGTTTTCTTCAAAACTATCCAGTGCATATCCTGAATATTATCAAGCTGAGTTGTAAACGATTTTTCAAAAACAATTGACTCCAAATTAGTTTCCGTTGCCCTATCGCTTCCGTCCCACACTAGAACTCTAAATCTATAAAATACATTCGCGTATTTTAATATTTGATATGCTGATGTCGACCGACAGGTCCCCTAGAACAGGCCCGCAAAATACATTCACACAAATACCCGATACAATTAGTGATGCCCTTTTCCCGAAAATATTAATCGTCGTCTATCACAAACCCTGTTCGGCTTTGTTGAGCGTGCTGATTCCGTTGCAAAATGTTCAAGCATTGATTCAGACAGTGCAAACTGGCTGCTGATGTGGCTTTGAGCAGGAGCAGGTTGGGATCGACGAAATACTTGCTGCCAGCCGACTCAATGGCTCTACATAGAGCGGAGTCGGCTTGCTCGGTTTGATGGAGTTGCGATCGAACACACCCCAACGCGTCTAAGACGGCCAGATGTTCCTTTGGAGGTAACGGGGGATTGTTGGCGGAGATGGCCTGGAAAAAACGCATTTGATTATAGTGCATACAAAATAGTTCGTTTTTGGGAAAAAAATGTTTAAAAGGAGGTATTTTCGCGAAACAATTTGAGAAAGGGGTTGAGAAGTTGTCTTTCTTCCATACAAACTATGGTTGGTTTTCCTTGGTCAGTGCTTGTTTCTATAAAAATCAACTTTCAGTTGTTTTTGTTCAGTTGCGACAACTTTTACGTTTAGAACTTCCATTGCGGCGTAAAAAATATCAAAGCAACTTATTTAATAAGTTCTTATTTCGCAATAAGAACGAATTATTTATCAAAAAGTAATTAAGAACTATCACCTAGAGGGTATCCTGCGACACACTTAGGCTCAAGCTGTAAGAG